AGTTCGGGGTTGGGATTGGAAGTTCGGGGTTGGGATTGAAAGGTCGGGGTTGGAATTGGAAGGTCGGGGTTGGGATTGGAAGGTCAGGGTTGGGATCGGGTGGCTGACATTCCAGGACAACAAACCTCTTCCCTCCTCCCTCCCCTGCCTTTCCCAGGAGCGATGTTCATGGCCCCGGCTCAGATCCCGTATCCCGCCGCCGCCGCCTATCCCGGTTTTCCGGGCGTGCCCCCGTCGGGCAGCATGATGGGGGGGCTGCTGGCCCCCTCGGTGGGCATGGTGGCCCAGCCCGGGGCCGGGGGCATGGTGGCCCCCCTGGCCATCCCCGCTGGGTACGTGGGCAGCGTGCAGGCGGCCGTGCTGGGTGTCCCCAACGGCGTCATGGGCGCCCAGCAGGGCGGGTACGTGGCCGGGGTGGCGGCGGTGCCACAGCCCGTCTACGGGGTCCAACCCGCCCAGCAGCTGCAGTGGAACATTGCCCAGGTCAGGGGGCACTGCTGGGAACTGGGGGAGGGCAGGGAGGGAGATGGGAGGGGCACTGGAGGCTCCCCGGGGTGGGCAGGGAGAGGGGGGTCACACGGGGGGCTGCGCTTGGGGGAGAGGAAATATCTGTGGGATGTCAGCTCAGCTTGTGGGGAGGGGAGTCCCAGAGTCACTGGGGTTGGAAAAGCCCTCCTAGATCATCAAATCCACCCTGGGCCCCATGCCCACCTTGTCCCCCAGGCCAGAGCACTGTCACATCCAGTTCTTCCTGGGACACCTCCAGGGATGGGGAGTCCCAGGGTCACTGAGGTTGGAAAAAGCCCTCCCAGCCCATGGATTCACCCTGTACCCCAGCCCAGAGCACTGAGAGTCACAGCCAGTGAACACTGGATATCCTTGGACACCTCCAGGGATGGGGAATCCCAGAGTCACTGAGGTTGGGAAAAGCCCTCCCAGCCCATGGATCCACCCTGTGCCCCATCCCCACCTTGTCCCCCAGGCCAGAGCACTGTCACATCCAGTTGTTCCTTGGACACCTCCAGGGATGGGGAGTCCCAGGGTCACTGAGGTTGGGAAAAGCCCTCCCAGCCCACGGATCCCCCCTGTGCCCCATGCCCACCTTGTCCCCCAGCCCAGAGCACTGAGGGTCACATCCAGTCATTCCTTGGACACCTCCAGGGGTGGGGACTCCAAACCTCCCTGGGCAGCCCCTTCCAATGCTTAACAACCCTTCCAGGAAGAAATTCCTCCTAATGTCCAACCTAAAGCTTCCCTGGCACAGCCTAATCCCACGTCCTCTCGTGCCTGGGAGCCACAGAGCTGCTCCCCTTAACTCTTCAGAGGAACTTCTGTTAAGCCTGGGATGTTTTGTGGAGCCCGAGTTTGGGCTGGCAGCGCCCAGGACACTTCCCTGACCTCCCTGCTGTCCCCTCTCCCCTCTGCAGGTGACCCAGCAGATGGCTGGGATGAACTTCTACGGAGCCAACGGGATGATGGGCTATGGCCAGTCCATGGGAGGAGGAGGAGCCCAGGGCAGCAATCAGTCCCTCAGCTCCCCGATGTGGAAATGAGCCCTCGCGTTGTGTGACCATTTTTGCCTTCTGTTCTGTTCTTCAAACCTGCTCTCCATGAGACATTCAGGGTTTTTTCCTTTTTTGGGGCTGCCCAGCCCCGGACCCTTCCACCCCCCACCCCCCCAGAGACCCATCTCTGCCTTCTCACTGTCAGACACGGTGACACCTCCTCAGTGAGCAGCCCATGAGCTCCCCCGTCCCCAGCACAGTCAATGCACACGTGGGGGGGATCCCCCTCCTTGCACAAACCTCCTCTGGGTAGCACTTGATGTCCTGCTGGGCAGAGGTGGGGCTGTTCTGCCTGCTGAAGCCAGGCCTCGTCACTTCAAACTCCAGTGTTAGTAGGTTTGGGGGGTTAGTTAGAGGGGTGGGAAACCTCGTTTGGTGCTGAGGAACTGGATTTCCCCCGAGCCCAGGGGCAAGCAAGCCTTGCTACCTCCTCCCTTGAGCGAGTTCTCAGCTCTCTGACCCTCATTGGAACCAAAGTCCTTGGGAAGCCCCCCCGTCCCTCCCCCCCTGAGCAAGCAGGATTCTCGCCCGGTGTGGGGGCAAAGCCGATGGAATGTGAAACTTGCACTTCAAGAGTGGCTTTTTCTTGTCTTGATTGTTGGCATTTGATGTATTTAAACTTTTAACAATCTTAACTGAGAGTTGTAACTTATCCGGGGCTCAGAGCCCGCTGCGAGTTTTTCTTACACTTTTAAAAATGACTTATGACATCCTAATTTATACTTTTTTCATATATTTTTTTGTTTTTTTCTTTTTTGGTTGTTGTCGTTTTTCCTGTGTAATCCTGGTCCCCTTTTCCTGGCTCGCTTTTGGACATTTTTGAACCTTAGGCAGGTTTTCTTTTCTCATCTCCAGTAGAACACACAAAACTGCTTCAAAGTCATCAGCGTGAGCAAGAGGTCAGACCGTGGTCTGCTTTTCTCCTGTGGATATGTAAATTCCCAAATAAAAACATTGCAGTGAAATCTCCCCTTTGGCTCTGCAGGTTTTTAACCAGCAGGTGTTTCAGTGGTGGGGTCAGGGTGAGTTGTTCGCTCCGGGTGTGGGGATTTTGGGGTGTTCCAGCCCCAGTTCCAAGGCCTTGGAATGTCCCAAATGTCAAGGAGCTGAGGGGCTGCCAGCACTCCAAGAACTGGGCTCAGCCAGGCACAATCAGGTCAGTGGATGCTTTTATATACAAGAATTTGGGGTGGGGGAATCAAATTATTCAGCTTTACACTCATTTTTCAACAGAACCTGACCAGGGCTCGGCCAAAAGGTGCATTTTGAGGTTGCACAAAAAGTTAACAATCATAAAATTATGGAATAGAATGGGTTGGGTTGGGAGGGAGCTGAAGGATCATCCAATCCATGGGCAGGGACATCTCCCACTATCCCAGGTTGTTCCATCCTGGCCTTGGACACTTCCAGGGATCCAGGGGCAGCCACAGCTTCTCTGCCCAACCTGTGCCAGGGAAGGATTCCCTCCCAATCTCCCTCTGGCACTGGGAAACCATTCCCTGTGTCCTGTCCCTCCAGGCCCTTGTCCCAAAGTCCCTCCCCACCCTTAGGGAAGGTGGGCTGGGATTTGGGAGTCACCTGAAGCACAGCCAGGAAGGTTTGTGGGTGGCTGTGCAGCTGCAGGGAGAGCTCAGAGCTCCTCGTGGGGGCCTTGAGCTGATGATTCTCTGCATGTTAATTATGGTATTTCTTTCCTCGAGTCAAAACCTGCTTTTTTCAGCAAAAAAAAAGAGTTTCTTCTTTTCCCTTCCTCCCCAAAGTACCTGATGGGTGAATTGTTTGGGCTGCATGGTTTGAAAAGCTCGACTCAAGCACAGAAGAAAGTTTTCAAGCTGGCTTTTAATCATCTTCACTTGCTGCCCCAATACTGTACATGCAGGTACAAGCCAATGAAAATGTGAATAATTCAGGTTTTCCCCTCTTTTTTCTTTTTTTTTGGGGAGGGGGGAAAACTGGCTAAGGAATATTTTACAAAAAACAGCGTGCACCCTCACAGCCATCAGTCCTGCTGCATATAGAAACCACAAAAATACAAGAGTTTGACATTTAAGAAAGACCACACACATAGAAAACGGTACAGAACACAGGTAGAAAATTGCCATTTGCTTGTTTGAAATCCATTCCCGCTCTCAAGGATCCATCACAAGCCCATCCCCTTGTCTTGGACGTGGAACTGGGGGCTCCAAGGACCCTCCAGTTCCCCCCTCTGGGGTGATTCTTTAGGGGGGGAGTTGTCAAAGAGGAGGAATCTGTCATCAAACCAAGTTTATCCCGGGGTTCACTGGCTGCTTCCAGCCTGGCTCCCGAAATCCAAAGGTATCCAAGGTGAGTGTGGCAGCCCTGGGAGTTCTCCTGCCTCTCCTGTTCCCTGGGGTGTGATGGTGACACACCTGGCACCTTTTCATTCAGCAGCAATTAACTCCTGGCTAATTGGGTTCTGGCACTTCCCAGCCCCGTGGGGCTCTCCTGGGTCAGCTCAACCTCCTTAATGCAATTTTTTGGGGGGATGGGGGGGGGATTTTAGGCTGGAAAATGTGAAGAACTGTGTGTCCTTGTGTGGTTGTGTCACTTTGAGCTGCATCACTGTCACAGTGACTCCTTTCAGCTCCAGCTGCCAGGGGAAGGGAATGACAGGCTGAGCCCTGGGTGCATCTCATTGCCTTTAATGATCTCATCCTTCATCCCACCTCGAACAATTTTGGACCCTTTTATGCCTCCTCAGACTTCTTAGGTTTGAAGGCATAGGCTGTGTTTAAAGATTTGTTAGTTATGGACAAAATCCCTCAACTGGGAATAGAAATTCAGAATTCTTTTTGACAGGATGAACGTTTCCAAACTTCACTTTGGGTGCTTTTAAAACCTCCTTGGTTCAGTTTCCTTGGTGCTTTTCCCCCCTGTGCTTGTGTGGGTTTGGGTTTGATTTCCCTGGTGCTGTCAAGAACCAAATTCAGGGATGAACTTCCAACTTGGAGCTGCTGCTTCCCCCCCTGGAGCTGTTCCTGAGCCACTGGTTTTTTTCTCTTTGAGGTATAAACTTTGGGGATTAATGACAGATTCTTGAGTGCCTGGATCGTTTCTTACACGATCCAGGAGCTTGTTCCTAGCGTGGATTTGGAGGTGGGGGAGTGGGATGACACGATGGGGGGGGGGGGGGGGGGGGGGGGGGGGGGGGATAATTCCATTTAAACTGCATGAAAAAAATCAAGCCCTTTAAGAAAAACAAGGCCACCAACTTCAAAGTGCTCTAAACATTCACGAGGCACCCGCTGCCAGGGGGCCCTCCCTGGCCAGTGGGGACGGGGAGGGGGAGCTGCTCCTTCCACACGGCAGGAATTGCTTCACACGGGCAGGACAAAATTCCCTTTTTTTTTTTTTTTAAAAAATCCCTTTTTTTTTTTTTTTGACAAAATTCCCTTTTTTTTTTTTTTAGCGAGCGCCGGGATCTGGATATTTACACACAGCCCTCCCCTCGGGGATCGGGATCAGCGCCCCACCCCTCCCTCCATCCCTGCCTGCTCCCCAGGCTCCCAATCCATCCCTGCCTCAGGCAGGAGCTTTGGGAGGGATTCGGGAGCAGGGTTCTGGCACCGAATCCCCGGGAGGGTGTTGGGGGGGCTGTTTAACAGCAGAGATGAAAGGAGGGCGCAGAGGGGGCCCCTCCAAACCCTCTCTCCCCCCAGAGGACCCCCCTGGGCTCGTGCTCCCCTCGCCTGGAGCTCAGCATCCCACGGTGCCAAAGGGAGCAGAGGGTGGGATCGGGTGGGAGATGCACAGCCCGGGGCTGGGATTGCTCTTCATTGCACGGGTACAACAAAACAGAACCTGAATGTGGGTCGAGTGCACAAGCTCTGGGTCTGAAAGAACAAAAAAAAAAGGGGGGGAAAGGAGGGGGGGACAAATGAAAGGATGAGGTATCGCAACAACCGGAGCTCCAGCGGGCACGGGGGGCACAGCAGCTCCTGGCCTGGGGGGCAGCTGTGGGGCCACGCTGGTTCCTCCTGGATTCCTGGTGTCTGTGCCCTGTCCTGGTGTCCATGTCCTGTCCTGGTGTCCCATCCTGGTGTCCGTGTCCCGTCCTGGTGTCCCTGCCTGAAGTGGATGGTTGGGCTCCAGCGCTGTGGCAGCACCTCAGACAGCAGGACAAACCTTGCTGAACGTTTTTCCAGGTCTATTTTAAACCCTAAAAATCTTCCCCAGGTGGGTTCAGGTGAGCAGAATTGTCTTCACCCCCAAAATTCCAGCAGTGCTGCTGCAGATGCTTTTATTTTTTTTCCCCCCTAACGAGCTTTTCCTGCAGTTTTTCAACCTTCTTTTTAGCTCCTAAACACGATTTTTGCACCTCTAACAACCAGCCAGGGGTTGGGGGGGTTTTCTCTGTGAGAAAGAAACCCTGTCCCATCCCTGGCAGTGTCCAAGGCCAGGTTGGACAGGGCTTGGAGCAACCTTGTGGAAGGTGTCCCTGCCCATGGAACAGGGGGTGGAACGAGATGACCTTTAAGGTCCCTTCCAAACCAAACCATCCTGGGATTTCTGGAGCAGAAGGCAGATTTCCAGATGAAGCAGCTTTGCTGGAGGATCATTGGAAGGGCCCTCATGCCTTTGGATGCAAACCCTGCTGTTCCTGCAGGCGACTCTCCAGATCCACCTGCAGGCACGAAATCCCAAAGGAAAGCAGGGAGAGCTCTTCCCATCTTTTTTTATCCGTGATGCAAACCACACTTGGGCTTTGGATTGAGCCAGTGAGACAAGCAGTGCTGGAACACTGTTCCCTGACCTGAACAGTGCTGTTGTTTTCCAAACCAGTGGCCAATCCCACACCTTTGGGAAGGTGACAGATGTGGAGTGTCCGAGCGTGTCACGTCAGCCTGGAGCGAAGCGCCCAAGGAAGAAAACAGAAGGTGGATTCTTTCCGCCTGGAAAAACATCCCTGGTGCTGATTTTGGAAGTAATTTTGGAGCAGGAAGGACCCTCTGGCTGTTCTCACCAGTGCTGGGGGTTTGTGAGCCCGGGAAAACCAGGCAAGGTGTGGAATGTGGCTGCTCCTCTCCCAGACACCCAGGTCCAGGCTGCTCTTCCCGAGATGTGGTGCCACAGAAGAGATTCCCTGCCAGCAAAGGGAATCCTGATCCCACTCCCCAGGAATTCCCGCTCTTGGATTTGTAACCAAGAGCTGCTTCTGGAGAAAAAAGCTTGCAAGAGCTGGAAAAGCTGGATGTGGAGGGAATGCTTCCCACCGGCTCAGGAGCTCTGTGGCAGCAGGTTCAGCTTCCTGATTCCTGGGAATTGTTTCTGTATCTCACTGGATTTCAGGAGAACTACATTTAAGCATCCTCTCAACATGCCATGATGACACAGGAGCTGATTTCTGGGCCCAGCTCCTGCTGCCCTTGAAAATTTTCACTCCACTTTGGCAAATTCAGCCCATTCCAGGCCGGGAGAAAACACAGGGATAACTTAGGCCTGGAATCATCGAGTGCTTTCTGTGCTTTGCTGCTGTGGCTGTGACTTTTATTAGCATTTAGGGGATGTTTAAGTACCATTTCAAGGCTATTTTGGTAAAATCCAGCCTTGTGACTCCAGCTGGGGGTTTGATTCCAGCCCCAGTGTTCAGAGAGGTCTGTGTCAGGTGGGTGCTGCTCCTCACTGCTGGGGGCTGGGTGTAAAACAGCCTGCAAAGCTGATGTCATTCCATATTAATTATTCTTTCTAGGGGGAAAAATATCTGCCAAATCAAGTGGTTTGACTTTCCTTCCACGATGGGAGGTAGAGGAGATAATCTGACCCATAATACCTTTTGCAAATCATATTGCACGTGGAAAAAAAATGCCCTTGGCAATAAAATGTTCCCCCAGGAAAGGGAAAAACCCTGGAGTGCAGAAGCTTCTGGTTTGTCCTGGGATAGAGTGAATTTTCTGAGTTTTGGATTTCTGGGGTGTCCTGTAGAAAGCAATGGGGTGTCTTGGCCTCGTTGTTCTCGTTGCTGGAGGAGGGAAAACATCTCACACAAGGGCTCAGGGGCTGAGAAAGGAGAAGGAGCTGATGTTTCAGTGTGACTGTGGCACAATTCCCCCAGTTTAGTTTTTCCACACCGATGCAAGGCGGGTCCTGACCCAGCTGCTTCCCCAGGGAAGCGAGTGGCAGCTCCTGGAGGGGGGACTGGAAGGGAAGAAGGGAAAGTCTTGTTGGATTTTGGTCATTTGAGGTCCCTGCGTGGTGGCTCCACCTTTCCAGTGTCCAGGAACAGGAGGAATCAGCCCCGTGAGGCAGCAAACAGGAACCCAGCACCGAGGGGGAAGCGGGGAGCAGTTTGTTCAGTCACCCCCCAGTGCATCCTCAGAAAGAAGCCAAAGTCTTCGGGTTTTCCTTGTTCCCTGGAGCTCCCAGGCTGTGCCTTCCAGGTGCTGGTTCTTTCCCCTGGTTTTTTCCAGCAGGGTTTTGGTAACTGGGGCAGGAGCAGCGAGGTTGTTGCCGGACCCCGGGCGCGTGGTCGGGATGTTCTGCTGCTCCTCACCCGCCTCTGCTCTCTGTCAGAACACAGGCGTGTGATGTTCCTGGCAGGGGAGAGGAGCAGGGAAGAAGAAGCTCTGCTGGAGGAATGCAGAGAGCTGGGAAGGGAGGGGGTGGGATGCTGTGTGTGCCCACAGCAGCGAGCACAACGTCCCTGCAGAGCTCCCTGCTCTGCCCACGCCGCTGCTCCACGGCCCTGTGGACGTTCCCTGCTCCCACCACGGGGCAGGTTTGATGTTTTCCCCATCGAAACAGGGCTGGTAAAGCAAAAGTAAATAGTTGTCAGCTCGGAGGAGAGGAAAGCTTTTCCTCTCAGGAGGACGTGCAGTCAGAAATCCAGCGGCGGGCAGAGGAAGCTCAGCCTAGTCCAGAGCTGCTCCGTGCTCTGCAAGGAACATCACGTTCCAACCAGTGCTAATTCCTGTTTCAGGAGTCAGGGCACCGAGTTTGCTTCCCCAAACCACTGGAGGTTCAGTGCATCCCACGTTCCTTCCGTTGCCACCCAGCAGGAGCCCAGGAATGGGAGCGAGCTGCTCCAGCAGAGGATTTCACCCTTCACGAAGTGAAAGGATGAACCTTTCCCCGTCCCAGGTCAGCAGCATCTGGGCCTCCTCTTTCCTCAGAGGTCTGCAGCGATTTTGGGTTGGCAAAGTCGAGACAGCAGCTGAAAGTCCTTGTCACAATGTCACTTAAATTTGGTGCTGTTGGGCAAAGCAGCCACCGCACAGTGGAAGTCCTGCTGAACCCCCCAGATGTGGGTCTGTGGACCCCAAGGTTTGGGTTTCTGGACCCCAAGGTTTGGGTTTGTGAACCCCTGGATTTGGGTTTGGGTTTGTGAACCCTCAGGTTTGGGTTTGTGGACCACCAGGTTTGGGTTTGTGGACTCCAAGGTTTGGGTTTGTGAACCCTCAGGTTTGGGGTTTTGAACTCCAAGATATGGGTTTGTGGGACCCCCAGGTTTGGGGTTTGTGGACCCCCAAGTTTGGGGTTTGTGGGCCCCCAGGTTTGGGGTTTGTGGAGGGAACAGCTTCATCCCAACAGTCTTTTCCCTTCAGGTTTGGTTTTGTTCCGTGGTGGCTGAGCTGCTCCGTCGTTCCCGGCGTCACCAGGAGAACCTCGGTCGGTTTGTTGTGCTCTGTGCATTGTGGAATTCTGTGTTTTGCCAAGAAATAATCGTATAAAAATCCCAGCTGTGCTGTGGGTTGGTTTGTGGTGAAGACTGAAGGTCAGAGCCAGCTGGTTGGCAAAAATTCCCCATTAACCTCTTGTCCTCTTCCAGTCTCCAAACTGCTCATCTTTTGGTGTGTTGGGTTTGTTGTTGGTTTTTTTTTTTCCTCTCTTTTGGGAACTGATCCTTCAGGACAGTCATTGGATTAGGTTCATTTTACGAAGAAACCAGAGTTTCTAGTGGTGTCTCCCCTGAGTATTTTTTTTTTCAGCAAATTTCATTTAGGCACCTTCAAAAAAAGCTTCCGTTAATTCTCGGGTTTGCTACAAGAACTGGGTCCCTCGGAGGGAACCAAAAATGCTGCTTTGAAAAACAAACAAAACAACACAAACAAAAACCCCCCAAAACACTCAATCCTGACGAGAAACTCAACCCAGCGAGTCCCTTGGCCGTCCCCTCTCTCCGGCACCCGAATTCCAGAGCAGCACAAGCTGCTTTGTTGAGATGTTCCCCTGTAGCAAATCAGCGAGTCCAGAGCTGGGAGAACAGGGCTGGGCAAACCCTCCGCTCCTGCTTGGAATTCAAGTATCCAGGAGGGTGGCCCAGACCTCGGGGAGAGCATCCCAGAGCTCGAGGAGGGCATCCCAAACCTCAAGGAGGGCATCCCAGACCTCAAGGAGGGCATTCCAGACCTCGAGAAGGGCGTCCTGACCCCAAGGAGGACGTCCCAGAGCTCGAGGAGAGCGTCCCAACCCCTGAGGAGAACATCCCAGACCTCAGGGAGGGCATCCCAGCCTGGAGGAGGAGACATCCTGGCCCCGAGGAGGGCATCCCAGACCTTGAGAAGGGAATCCCAGACCTCAAGGAGGGAATCCCAGACCTCAAGGAAAGCATCCCAACATGCAGGTGGGGCATTCCCAAACCT